GTGGAACTTCTGTGTATTAAAGTTTGTATCGAGGAAGAATAAACTGGTTTAATAAAGAAATGACTTGTATCGCTGAAGATCCTCGATAAGAATTTCTACCGGAAACAAACAAACAAGCAGATACGTAACAATATACTATTGTTGAATTGGCAGTTATTAAGGGATTATACAACGAATCTTCATTTGGATTCTACCATTCTGACAATTTAGTCCAATCAGAAATGTATCATTTCCTACATAACTTTAAAGAGCAACAGATAAATATTTGAATATTGAGACTAGTACACTTATTTACATACATAACTTCAAAATACATTAATACTACACATTATTTGTCATTCAGCTGAAATCACAGTAATTTTACACAATCACGAAGTTAGGCATGGAAAACTCTGGGTTACAGACGTCTTACCTAGGCCTGAAATATATTGTAATTTTAAAAATGCGAATTTTTTTAATTAAAATATTATTAAGGCATTGATACTGGTGAACTTCTAAGAATATCGTATTCCTACAGTAAAATATTTCACTAATTTCTGTTAAATTGCTTACCGATTAAGTATTTTTGCAAATCCTCGTTAACCTGATTTAACAAATAACACGAACAAAGATTTTATCGAACAAAGAATTTACATTCATATCTCTTAAGGCACTCATACTGACAGTCAACTTACCGAAATTGGACAATTATTCCATATTCCACATCTACACTTACTTACGCAGGAAATAGCTTTGTACAGGTGAGGATTTTGTTTCGAAAGGCCCAGTAGTATCTTCGTTCCATGCGTCTTAGTTGGAGGATATGGTATCACTACTCTCGTCGAAGCGAGTAAGAAAATACTCGTTGTCAGAGAAAATCTTAGTTGTTATTTGTCGTATTGGGTAACAGTTGTGAACATGTTCGTTTGTTCTACTTAAAATTATGACGAATATTCTTATCATCAAATTATTACAGTAACATAGTTTTGTGCTGTTTTTTTTACACTAATAATGTTTACAAATATATAAGAACAGGATAATTGAATCCCAAACGTTCTCCAATATTATAACGCGATTTTGATACTTGGGACTATTTATAATTAAAGTCTCGATATCAAAAGTTCAAGAAATTATATTTATAACAAAAGAATTGAGCTTGTGCATTTGATGAACATTAATCTTAGAGAGGGCAAGCCATATCTTTCCATATGTACGATACAATATATAGAAATACAATAAAGTATATACGTTTTAAATTTATAGAACAGTCAATTTGGTTAACTTTAATTTAAACAATGTTTCTTTGTTAAACCCAAATCTGCACAATGGGTTATCTTTGCAGTGCATACCTTCAACTTTATCGTATTATCCCTCGAGCCTACCACTGAGACACCAGAGGGGGGATCACATCTTTTACACAAAATAATTCCCTTATGATCTTTAACACTTATGTGCATGTATAAACTGAAATAGATTAATAGGTACTGGTTAACACTTTGTGTCCAGCTTTTGCATTGTGATGCATCTCTTTTCTTTTCATCTGTTCGATCCACTTGCCTATCCAGAACGTTCTATTTAACATAAGCTTAATGGCAGAACAAGGTGTGAGTTTAAGAGCGTTTCACTAAAGTTGTGGAGCTTTCTTTCGGAGTTTAATGTCATGAAAACGCTTAAAATCACATTAAATATAGGAATAATTACTGCATGAAAAATTGAATTTTATGATGACGCTTAAAATCACATTAAATATGGGAATAGTTACTGCATGAAAATTTGAATTTTATGATTAGGCTTAAAATCACATTAAATATGGGAATAGTTACTGCATGAAAATTTAAATTTTATGATGGCGCTTAAAATCACATTAAATATGGGAATAGTTACTGCATGAAAATTTGAATTTTATGAAAACGCTTAAAATCACATTAAATATGGGAATAGTTACTG